AAATAATTTGTCAAGAAATAATTTGCTTTAAGAAGCTAATTTTTGGGTAGCTTTTTTTTTTTTAATAGCAAAGGTTGGCAAACTTTTTCTGTAAAAGATTACATAGTTGTGGATGAAAAAAGGGGTTCTATGGAAATTAGGGTGATCTGATCATAAATTCCTAACTGGGCAGGTCATGGTGGGTAGTCATGCCCCAGACACATAACTTTTTAGTAAAAGGTTTATCTTTGCCTTAAGCAAGACCTGTCCATTGTTTCTATGCATCTAGGTTAAAATAATTTTGAAATAAGCCATAACCACTGTCAAGAAAGCACATAATCTTGCCCAGCCAGCATTGCTCAGTGGTTGAGCGTCGACTTATGAGCCAGGAGGTCACAATTCAATTTCCGGTTGGGGCCCATGCCCTGGTTGTGGGCTCGATCCCCAGTGTGGGGCGTGCAGGAGGCAGCCGATCAATGATTCTCTCTCATTTTTGATTTTTCTCTCTCTCTCTCCCTCTCTGTTCCTCTCTGAAATATATATATATATATGAAAAGAAAGCACATAATCTTAACATCCTCTAATCTAATCCTCCCTCATCCCCACTTTTTTCTAACTTTATGTAGTCTTTCGTACTCTTTCAATTTCAAATGCATAAAAAAAGTTGCAAAAATGCCCTGGCTGGGTAGCTCAGTTGGTTGGCATGTCATCCAGATGCGCCAGAGTTTCAGTTTCCATCTCCAGTCAGGGCATGTGCAGGAATCAACCAATGAATGCATGGATGGGTGCAACAGGAAGTCGATGTTTCTCTTGCTCGCTCGCTTGCTTTCAACTCAATCAATCAATTAATTAATTTTAAAAAACACGAGGCTGCAAAACTGTTCATGTTTTTCAGTTTGACTCAAATTCTCATAAAAATTCTCTACAGGTTTGGACACTTTTTTTTAATTAAAAATATTTTTATTGATTTCAGAGAGGAAGGGAGAGTGGGGGAAAGAGATAGAAACATCAATGATAAGAGAATCATTGATTGGCTGCCTCCTGCATGCCCCACACTGCGGATGGAGCCTGCAACTGGTCATGTGCTCTGACTGGGAATCGAACTGTGACCTCCTGGTTCATACGTTGACCCTCAACCACTGAGCCTCAGTTTGGATATTTCTTATGTTGACATAGTAAATATTTTAGGTTTTACAGGCAAGATGGTCTGTTGCGCTACTCAACACTGCCATTGTAGCATGAAAACAAACTGACAATAGGTAAACCTATATGCATGGCTGAGTTCTAATAAAATTTCTTTACAAAAACAGGCGGTGGGCTAGATTTGACCTATGGAACCTATTTGCCAAGCCCCGCAATGGGTGATTGAAACAGAATTTGATACCTGGAAGTGGGGTGCTTCCAAAAACCTCAAACACAGCATTGACTTTGGAAGCAGAAACCTTGCAGAGTCCTGAATAGTAGCAAGGAGATTGCAAGTGCAGTAAGGAAAGTGTTACTGGAAAATTGTTAGAGACCTAAATACATACAGGCAACACGCAGTTAGCGAGGATGATACAAAATGTATCCAATGAACTTGTGGTCTTGCTCTGGAGCAGCGGTTGCTAACCACTGTTCTGCAGATCACTGATGGTCTGTGAGGTCCAAAAGGTTGGCAACCGCTGTTCTGGAGAATTCCAGGCAAAATGTTCTAAGTTCCAAAGGTCTTGCCCTGTGCTAGATTGCCACCCTCCCCTCCCCACCTCTCACCCCATCTCTTCCTCTTCATTGGGTTGGGATGTTCACACTGTCAATGCTATTTGGACTCCTCCTACCTATTGGCTCTTGGATCGAATTGCTCAGAGAGTAAGAGGAAGAAGGTAATATGTTTTATGTTTTATAGTTACCT